GGACTAAATATATGAAATGGGGGAGCAGCAGTCAAATCAAATGGCCTCTGGGGTCCCATCTACCTCTATCATTCTACAGCCTAGAGAATCCAAAGCTGCAATAGGAAAATAAAAGGTAGAAACAATAATTGTTTCATAGTCTCAATTTGGAACAGCCCCCATCGATCTTTCCCTGCCATGTATTTCCTCCAGCAGTGGCTGTAGTCATTTCTCCAGGGGCAGTGACTGTGGAGATTATCTAGGCAGGGGGGTCCCCTAGAGCGTCCCTTTCAATCTGGGGACCTTTGCCAAATCCAGCCAGACAGGAAGCCCTTTGGCAAATCTCTAATGAGTGCCTTCTTCATTTAACAAGTGCTTTCTTCATACCAGAAACCTTATGTAAACGATCTCATGTAATCCTCATGAGAATTCAGTGAGTTAAGTCCTAGCCCCATTTTACAGGTGGGGCAACTGAGGTTTACACCAGCTAAATAATTTGCTTGAAGTCATAGTGTGAGACAACATCACAATTTGGAATTAGGTTTGACTCCAGAACTCATGCCCTTAATTTACAGATTATAGAATATTATTTCACTTCACAAAAACAAAGCAAAAAAACAGGGCAAATTTTTCTTGGGGAGTGGAGGCTGGCATGGGGATGGGTGGGAGTCCTGGAACTGAATCGATGGAGGGAAGACTAAGCACAGAGCCACAGGGAAAACTTGAACTCTAGGTAATGAATTGTTGAACTTTCTACGTTAGGGTGTACACTCAGGCTGCTGCCTGCATTCTGGAGTATGTATAAATGGGTCTTTATGTATAAAATTCTCAGACTGGGGTCAGAAGATTAAGATTTGAAGCCCACTTACTTATGTGTCATCGTTATACCTCCCAGTGCCTTCTTTCTCTTCTGCAAAAGAAAACTAGTAACAATTGCTCTATTTTCTCATAGGGTTGTACGAGGAGTTGAGAAAATAATACATGAATATGCCCTGGAAAACATAATGCGTCTGGGAGGTGTGTTCTTACTGGGCCTCCCGGGGCTCTCTCCAGCACGGGTTTGGCTCTCTGACAGACTCTCTGTGAGGTCCAGGTGGGAGGGTGGCTGGTCACTGGCTTTGATCTCAAACACTTCTGAATAGAACACCCTGACCTCTAACTCCCCCTTAAGATTGGAGAGACACTGTTGGAGGCAAGAATGCCAGGTCAAATAATGCCACCATTGATTATTCAAAGAAACCCAGGAAATGTGTGTAACTCTATCCTAAAGACCTGTGTCATGAGTCAGAACTCAGGATCTTCTATCAGTTTAATCCCATAATCTTAGGATACTTGGAGGGGACTTCTCTTTGGCAGGTGATAAACTCTGAGACACCAGCCTTCTACAGCCAGAGGCTTAAGAGTCTCCCGTGCATTCATGTTTTCCTTCCCTTCCCAACTTTATTAACAATCTAGTAGCTCAGGGATGGAATTCAGAGCCACCTCTGGGCTGGCCTCTGGAGAACTGGATGGCTCCCTTCTACGTGGGTAGTTTGAATTCCATGGCAGTTGAGTGTAGTTCGTTTCACCACCCAACTAACTTTATTAATGAGCTCTCAAGGCTTGGGGTCTAGTGTTTGGACACTTTTTCCCCTTCTCAGTGTAAAGTCAGCAGTCCTGATGAAAGAAACTGAAGAATGTCAGTGGTGTGGAATGTTTGTATGAGAAGCACTGGGTGGGCTTACTAGGGGACGGAAATGGGCTGTAAAAATGTTAAAAGCCTCAGTAAAGCAGTTGTATCTGTAGAGATTTGGGCTTTCTCTGCACTTAGCTAAAGCTTAGTTTCTTGAGATACTTTCTAGTTAGTTCTTTACTTAACTCTCTTAAGGTATGATCCAGCCAAGAGTCAGGCTGTGTTCCTACAAGGAAAATGAAGTTAAATTTTCAGACAATTTTTTCCAAAAGTTGAGATCCTTTAACATCCCTCTCATTTAAAAAAATATATATATATGTTTGTGATTTTCTGAGTTGACTTTCTACACTGACCTTAAAATTGCCCAGACTTGCTACAAAGAACCTGCATTTTGCTTCTGTCTCATTATCTCTAATCATATCGTTGGAAATTTCATCATTTTCGAGAAAGTGAAACTTTACTCGCTTATTTCTTTAACCGGAAATTCAACTCCTAGATTTTCTTTCCTTGTAGCTATGAACAACTGCGTTGAATTTTCACTTTTAATTTTCATCTCTTTCCACTAAGGGCTGATCATAAAACATCTTACCGTTGGAAGCCAACATTAGTTTCTGGCTAATTTCATATCTTGGCCTTTCTCCCAGCCCACTGGAAGGTTGGAGGTGTAAGACTGGGCTTCAGGACCAAAGTCGATGCTTCTGGGCCTATCACTACCCCTCACAAGCTGAGCACGCACTGACAAGCCACTTGTGGTTCCAGGGCCTCAGTCTTCTCGTCTGTGAAATGAGACGGAAACTGCCCGCCCCAGTTCCGTCCCGTGGCTAGCTATCAGGAAGATCATATGAAATTCGTGAAGGTGGGTTGACACACGTCATTACTACTGTGATTCCACTTTCCCCATTTCAGGGGGGAACTCATAACGTCGTCAATGCAGTTTAGCCCTATTAATCAGAAATTAACTGGAACTCTCAAGAAACTCAAGTCAGTCACAGCTTCTTTGGCACTTTGATTGACCCCCAGGCTCTGAACACATCAGGTCAATTCCACCCCACTATTTGCTAGCACCAGCTTGTCTCTACTGGTGTTATATACTTAAGAAATAACTAGTTCTCACTCATGAAACCATTTCTGGTTTCTGTGGTATCCTGGCTATGTATTTCCTCCTCCCAAGGACAGTTAACACTCGGAGCCACTGACCCTGCTCTATGCCCAGCCAATCTGAAAAAGGCAGAAATCATGGGCTTTAGCTAATAGGATAGAGCACCCAATATTAAAGGTCAGGTCTTCATTTGTAATTTGAGTATAATGAGATCCAGGACGGTAAAGTGACTTGCCCAAGGGCATAAAGCTGGTGAGTGGTCCTGCCCAGGCCAAGCTGTTGACCACCCATCCACTGCTCATTTTGCTCCATCACTAATAAGAGATCCAACCGAAAAGGCAACTGGAAAACAGAGCCACTGGCCAGGTAGATGAGCGGTCAATAGTCAAGTAACCTGGTACCCACCACAGAGGAGGCTTTGACAGGACTAGACAAAGAGGGACCATAGAAGAAAGAGAACGAGGGAGAGAAAGGGCCAAGAGGGAGAGAGAGAGAGCACGAAGAGTAGGATTAAGACAGGAAGGGTCCAAAGGCTCGGACAGCCGCCACAGGTGCTGGGAGCTGTATCTTATCCACACTGTGGGCCTGGTGCTACCTGCCACTTGGCTCTGAAACCAGACAGACAATAACAACTGCAAAACCCACCCCCACCCCAGGCTTTGTCTGGAATATCCTCAAAGCAAGAATCTGTATGTTGTAGTATTATTCTACAACAAATGCTAAATGCAAAACAAGGGGCCAGTAATATCAATTTCTCCATTTAAAGTTGGGGAGACGGAGGCCCCAAACATGTGACTGTCACCAAAACTGAAATAGGTATACGGGAAGACAAGGTGACAGGCAGCACTCCAGGACCACAGCGTGGATAAGACAGCACCTGTGGCATCACTTCTCTGCCCACCGCCCCCAACTAAAACACTTTTTTTTTTTTTTTGGCTCCATCAAGGATTTAGCAACTCCTTTATTTGTAAGGAAGCATATGTGACTAGGAAATGAAATTACAGAATAGAAAGTAGTTAGGAGGAAAGGAAGCAAGTAGATGAGATGAAAATGAGGTGTCAGGGAGCAGAGAAGGAGAACCAATCCAATGGGGGAAAAAGTTGGGAAGAGAAGAGATGCCCCGTAGAGAAGCCCCCTTCCGCCCATTGCCTCAGAGGCTGGTCAGTGACATTAGATAGAAACCCCTCTCATTCAAGTCCCCTCACTGGCCCCTTTGTTTTCAATTCCACCACTCCAGAATCTCAAAATCTTCCGGACAGTAAGAACCTTAATGGTTATCTGGTCCACCCACCACCTCACGCAAGCAAACAGGCAGGGGGGCAGTAGTGTCTTTGTGCCCACGACTCCCAGCTGAGGATACTGAGGCTCAAGGACATCAATGCAGTATAAGGTCTCAGGGTCCTGGCCACTAAACCATAATGCCATTCTCTCCATTGCCTCAACAACTGGCTTCGCACCCTCACTTCCCAGCGGGTCACCATGGACGAAAGCAGAGAAGTCCGCGAACCCGCGAGAGGAGGAGCCAGAGTCACAGGTACGAGAGAAAAGCGTGAGAGCCTCGGGACAGGAAGTCTCAGGACCAGGAGAGCGCCCCTAGCCTGTGCGGGAACCCTCTCCGTCTTCCACCGCAGGACCGCGACACGAGCCCTCGCCACCTCTGAACTCATCCCAACCAACTTTCGCTCCCGGCTCCCTGCGATCTCGGGTGCGCAGAGCGACTCCCAGCGGCCGTGTCCGCGCCCCTGGTCCGCCTGTCCAGTCTCCATTCATTCCATTCGGCGCCCGGGGCAGCCCTTCCGCGAGCCCCCGGCCTCAGCGCCCCTCTGCAGACCTCGGGGAGGCTGGGCTCGGGAGTGGCAGAGCCGGGACACCAAGCGAGGGATGGACAGGACAGCGAGCGTGAGCGCCTCGGAAACCCCCGCGCACCAGTCTCCGCAAGGCGGGTAAGAAAGCGCCCAGCGCGGAGACGAGCAGTGTTCCCAGGCGGGTAGAGAAGCGGGAGCCCCACCTCTCTGTCACCAGGAACCTTTCGTGCCCCAAGTCAAAAGAGAAAGTGAGTTCTTGGCGAGAAACTTTCTGAAGCGCCGAGGAGCAGCGGTGGCTGGGAAAAGTTCAGCCCGAATTCTTTGGAAGCCGAAGGCTAGCGGCGCGGGTCGGGGGTGGGCGCAGGGCTGGTTACCAGAGGGGCGTAAAGGGAATGAAAGCGAGCCACCCTCGCCACGCTCACTCACTCGGCTTCCAGCGCTCGCCTCCGGTCTCCACTCGGGGCGGCCAGGGTCCGGAGGGCTGGCAGGGTCGGGGCGGGTTCGGGCTGCTTGTCGGTTGGGTCGGTGGACGAGCACCGGGGACGCACCGCCGGGACGCGGGCTGGCGGGTCCGCTGGGGCGGCGGCGCCGGGAGAGCCCAGTGCAGTGCGCGCCTCGCTGCGTGCGACTGTGGCTGGGTGAGCGTTGCATCACCCCTTTTATAGCTGTAGGGCTGGCGGGATTACTCTGGTCCCAGGCTGACGTAATGCTATTAATAGCTTCCCCCGAGAACTAGCGGGGCAGAGGGAGGAGAGACGGAGGAGGGGCCAAAGGGGAGGAGGGGCGAGGTGGGGCTGGTGATGCAAGCCGCGGGAGGAGCCGGCTGGGGCGCGTTCGCCGGCCTCGCGCGCTCGTACACACACCCGCCCGCCCGCCCTCTCCATATCAGGACCGGAGCTGCCCAGGCTGGCCGCCAGATGTGCGTACTCGCCGCTGCGTGTTCTAGGCATGAGCCAATGGCGCCCAAGCCAGCGGCATGACTCCACTGCGCTGGCATCTCTCCCTCCGATGGGGGGGGCCGGTTATTACAGGGGGAGATGGAAAGGGGGATCCCGGCCCCAGCCTAGAGCAGGCGAAGCTGGGAAGCGGGCATGTCCTTTCTCTAAAATGCGTAATCATTTTCTGGAGCTTCAGGAAAATACTGCCTCCGCAGCCAAACGCCTCCTTCTCAAGTAGGGGGTGGGTTAGGAACAGTAGTGTTAGCCTTTAGTAGGGGAGCGGTACCCAAAGACACCCTCCAGTGAACCTGCGCCGTTACCCGCCGGGGGTGACCTCCGAGGCAGGACAGCGAGAAGTCTGTCCGTTAACCGCGGCGCGCAGTCTCGGCGCACCGCACACGAGCGCACGAGCGGCACTGCGCCCAGGACGGGTTGAGAACCCGATCCCCGGGCGAGGGCGAAGGGTAGGACCCCATGGGCTAAGATGTTTCAACAGCCGCAAAGCGTTTGAAATTAACGTTGAACAAGACTGGAAAGACTAGAGACCAGGAAAAATCAGATGAAACTCAGAAAAGGACTAAGAGCGGGGCCGAAGCTTAGAGGTCAGGGACGGGAAAGAGAAGGCGCTCGGGTCTCCGCGGGCCGGGCGGGGCGGGGGGCGCCTCGCTCTGCGTCGCTGTTCAGAGGAAAGACGTCTTCGGCTTTCCTGTATTTTTCTGCGCGCAGAGTGCACTAGGCTGGGACGGGACCGCGGCTACTGGGTAGCACTGACCGCCGCCGAAGTGAGGCCGCGTAGCGGAAATCCCTTCCCCAAGCCGGGGTGGAAAAAAAGGTGGGGTCCCGTGACCCCAGATTCGAGCCGAGGATTTAGCAGAACTTTAAAAATGACTTCTTAGTCTGTTTTCCCCGACCTTCCTTGACTGTCTCGGCTTCCAGAGCTGCAGAACTCAGGACCTCAACGGCCCATGGACGAATATATGTGGACGAGAGTGCGGCTCTCGATGTTTTTTAACCTGTCGAGGAGGGAGACCCGTGTGCGCCCGTGGGGAGTGGGGGTACGGCTGGGGGGCACAGACACCTGCTTCCACCTGCCTCTTGGGAGAGAGGTGATCGAAGGTCATAGTCTGGTAATTTGGGGTAAAAGCTAGAAGGGTCTTGGAGACCCTGTCTGTCTCGTGGGTAGCCTCGCGCCCCGGCACCTGCAGCCTTCGGCTGTTAAGGTTGTGATGGAGGATCCAGTCCGTCTGTCGCTCTCTCCCTTACACACACACACACACACACACACACACACAGAGTCCCCGTACCCCCAAAGAATCCGTGTCCTTCTCCCCACCTTCTCTGATTGCCCAGCAGCCTGGGGCAGTGACCCTCAGAGCTGCAGGTAAAATGAGCGTACCTCGCCCGGGCTTCTTTCCCCTCCACCCACCCAGAACATCCCCCGCCTCCCAGCCCCAAGCTTCGCGCTCAGGACAACGTGGAGGGCGGCCTCGGAAGTCCCCTCGGTCCCGGGCGGGTCAGGGAGCCCCGGGGTTCCACGGAGGGTCCGCGGAGCCGTTATTCCGAACCTGACCCGGTCTCCAGCAGCGTCGTGCGGGAAGCACGGGGCTGTTGTTTTGCTTTACTTTTCGCCATGGCAACAGATCTCCCGGCCCCAACCTCCACCCCTCACGCCCACGCCCTCGCACCCCATGCCCACGCCCTCGCACCCCACCCCCACACCCCCACTCCCGCCCTCCTCCCGACGCGTCTGCTAGTAAACCCCGGGGCGGGCGGGCGGGCAGGTAAACCCTGGGCATGTCGGGACAACCCTAAACCAGAAGGAAGGGCATTTGTCAATTTAAATGAAAGTTATTTGGGTTTCTCAGCTTATCTATTGTATCTATCTATCTACTGCCTGGAACGAATTGCACCATTATAAAGTGAAACAAGGAGATGGGGAGGACACGTGAAAACTTCTCTCTTCTTTTCCTCTGTGAAATGCCTACAGAAAACTTCAACCAGTTTACACTATGAACTATGAGCCATTCTTACACGCAAGCCAGATTTGTGGAAGTTGAGTCCTGTCCTTAAGGGGAAATTCAACTTCAGGCGCAGGGTAAACAGCTAGACCAGCCTACACGCCACCGGTGCAAGAGAAGGGTCATTAAGCGAGAGGTCCACACCCCCGTCGGTTTATTTTTGTTACCACCTTGCCTCCCATTCCTCTTAGTCGTCTCGTTTCATTCTAATAATTCTTGGTTTTGAATCTCCAAGTCACACCTCAGTAGAAGTGCTGTCATCTGATTACAGAAGTCGGAGCATTCTCTGCTTCGCTCTCCTACTGAAACTCTAAAAGCGTTAAGAATCTTGACACACAACTAAGTCCACCCCTTTGTGAATGAAACTCTTATCTAAGGAAAACAAAAAGGACTCCCGCCTGCCTCCCTGCTCCCAGCCCCCAGGAGAACTGTGAAATGCCTGGCTAATCGCAAAGACCGGGAAAACGGAAGGGAAGAGCCCCGGGGTCTATGTCACTGGAGGGGTCATCGGTATGAGTCCTGGCTTTAGTTAATGCCACCCAGGGACCAGTGAGCACACTCTGTACCATCTAGAGAAGGAGCAAGAACATCTCCCCAGACCGACACGCTTCTCTACACAAAGGCAAAGAATGCCTCTGCCTCCTGAGAAGGAAGCCCTGGCTCAGGTTATTTCAGGGGTTAATCTTCAATGAATAGGAGTTCGGCAGAGACTTGAATGCTGTTGAGGTTTCACGCTGGAGAACCACCTGGGGAATCCACATTCAGATCGGCTTTGGTATGTTTTGCTGAGTGAGATAAGAACTGGAAACTTCGTGCTGGGGCATGTGCACAAGGAAGGGAAAAAAAGTTAAAAAGGGGAGGAGATGGAACTGAGCAGCTAAAAACAGCCCACTCGTGGCAACCAAATCTAAACACCAAAACACTGCAGGAGCCAAAAAAAAAAAAAAAAAAAGTTCAGAGATATTTAAAGGTTTTAGCAATTTCTTAGTCCAGAGAACAGTGCCTCCCTCCTCCACCCCGTGACTCTTCTTCAAACTTCAGGATTGTATTTGCTCACAGAGCTCTACAGAGGTAGATAACACACAAGTTAAAGTCGGTTATGTACTTGAAGCCCTGTCCTCCTGGCTCAACCCATTTCATCTCAGAGAGTGTGAGGTGGGTGGATTTTTCTTCTCTCTTCTGCTTTCCAAAACCCACACTATCAAAAAGTCAGTTGGAATGTGGAGAATACTAATTTCAGCACCTCCTCAGGAAATGAGGGGAAGCATCGCTGAGTGGGCTCCCAAGTGTGGGAAATAGAATTTTGGTTCTGGATTCAGCACTTAGCTGTATCACCTTGGATAAGTCACTTCACTCTCTGGGCTTAAGTTTCCTCCGCTGAAATGTGACACTGAAAATAGTACCTAACACATAAGTTTGTTGGGAGGATTCACTGAGGATGGGGCACACAGCCGGTCCTCAGTAGTGGTGTCATGAATGATGAATCAAGGAGGGCTTTCTGGAGACACCCCCCAAATCTCTCCCAGAGACCATTCTGTCCCCTAGCCTGTGACAAACAATTGTGGATGAAGTCGAGCTCTATCCAGGAATTACCACCTCCTGGGGAGCTGGTATAAGATTCCACACAGAAAACAATGAGAACAGTCCCTGACCTCCACCCTCAGCAACTTGGGGACACACGGGGCTCTCCTCAGTGCAGGGTGGAGGGATGGTCCAGTGAAAGTACCCTGGGTTGGGAGCAGGAAATTCTGGTCTGTTTCTGCCTGTGATATTCTTGAGCAAAAGAACTCCCCACTCTGAAGTGAGGGGCCCTGGGCTGAGCTCTGACGGTCTTGAATGGAGAGCTTCTGCCAGAGCCATCCTGCAAGTCTCTGGCAACCTCTCCTAAGAGAGCTGGAGAGAGAGAAAGTGTGAGTGGGGAGAGGCATTGAACAGCACAAGTACAGATCCATGTTCAGAATCTCTCTTCCCCTCCAAAAACTAGACTGGAGAAATGTTGTCCAACTTGACTCTCAAACACAGCCTGTGGTCCTGACAATATGCTTTCTCTTTCTCTCTCGCTCGCCACCTCCTTCCTTCCCTCCCTCTCTCTGTCTCTGTCTCTCTGTCTCTCTGTCTCTGTCTTTGTGTCTCTCTCTCTCTCCTCTCTCTCTCTCTCTCTCTCTCTCTCTCTCTCTCTCTCTCAACATTTCCAGAAAATTTTGCCCATGGACTTGGTGGCTTACTAGAGAAGAGGATGTAAGAGCACCTCAGGCAGGGATTGCATCTTTGACAAACTTCTTGTATGTAATCCATCTTCAACAGCCATAGACATCCACCTTGGACCACAGCACCAAAGCCCAGATAGCAACTATTCCCATTTGAGAGTGGGGATCTTGGAGCCCCAGGCACCCAAGATGAAGTCTCAGCGGCCAGAATCTTAGGACTCAGTAGACCTGGGACCCACTGGAAGGTTTTCCTCCAGCCAACTGAATGATTTACATGAATCATAAACACTTCATCTGTGTTCCAGTCTATAAAATAGAACTATTTAATATCGACTCCACCTAAAGTTGTGTAGTAAGAATCAATGAGATGACAGACATGAAAGTGATTTGAAAATAATTGAAAGAATCATACTTTTAAAGATTCCTTTGGGGGAACATTTCTTAGTATAATTTTTTGTTGTTGTAGTTTGTTTGTTTGTTTTGC